TTGCTAGATGCTTAAAAGATTCGGGGGCTTGGGCCCGGGAATTTTGAGCGTTTCAACATGATACCGATTATGGTTTTCTGTTCTGATTTTTCATGACATAAACTGTAGATTCAGGGTACTGTCAAACAAAAATGGGGCAAGGGCCCCGTGTTCCAGCGCCTAGCGACGCCTCTGCTGAAATACGATATCAGCGCGATATCAATGACATTAATTCCCACTTTTCGTCCTAGATGGCACTATGAACACTAATTAGAAATATTAACGTAAGTTAATACTTGAAAATTTAAAATATTGATTAAAATATCACAGGTTGTTCGTCAATGCATTTGTCTCTGACCTGTGACATTCAATTCCAATTTAAAAAACGTTCGAGGGTCAAGTGTATATTTATAATATTTCAATTAGCAGCTTGTGGCTCTTAGATAATTCAGTGGTCGAAAATAATAGTTGTAACTGTTTCTGTAGGAAAGGAAAAAAAAGATAACTTATCCAACTAAGCACGCCGGATTTTAGAAGTAAGGTAGTTGCATAAGGTTCTTCTACATTGGTTATACTGTCAATTTTACCAGACCCAGGGTGAGAGCTTACAAATTTTATAAGTTTGACGAATATATGAAATATCTCTTTTTCTTTTACTGTATTCGAATGTTGGCTGTGTGTGGTCATCTTTCAGATGTTTCTGTGTTATAATAGTAACAACCAATCTCGTTATTTGGTTAAAAGAACCGGACAAAGTCATTGTGGCAGTGTGTGCTACTAATAGATTTTCTTCCTTCTGGCCGGTAATTCAGTTGAAGTTATTGGAATGGCTATACTTGAACTATTAAGATATTTAACTGGACATTTAACCTACATTCTATCCATCGTCTTTCGTTGTGTTTATGGTTGATTATACCAGGAATGACTGGTACTTTACCTACTAACCTTTGCTGTTGTTTTTTTTGCATATTATTATTGCTCGCGATTAAAACCTTTAATATATTGCTTAGAAAAATATCCACTCATCTTATAACATCAAGGTAATCAAATGGCACTTTCCTGTGCTACCTATGCTGAGTTTGTTTTTTTAGAGGCAGATGTGTATAATATTATATAAGACCAGGTAGATCACCTTCACGTTTAAAACAATTGAGGTAAATACCCAGACAAGAGTCTTAGCTTGTGCAAGAAAAGCAGTAATTTGGATTTATTTTGGACCTTTGAAATAATTTAGATGAATAAAAGTCATTTCTTATTGAAAATAACGAACAAAATACACTTTTAGATGTTTTTTGTTATTAGAAAAGAGTACGAGTTTTAGATATTTATAAAAAAACATCAAATTCTTGATTTTAATGGTTTTCATCCTAAATATACTAAAATAAATATTTCATTTGCTAAAGGGATTATTGAAATTTTTGGTAAAACAACAGACATTATTTTAAATTTGAAGTAATTTCTTTTTATGAAAATGAATTATCCCAAAGGCTTAAAGCAATAACAGCGTTTTACATGTAAGAAATTGTAGTACGTCAAAGTAAAAAAACATGAAGGTATTATTATTTATCACTAAGTAGCTGTCCCATTTTGAAAGTAGTGTTATTTAAAGTCTCGTTGAAGTCCAACTGGAAACGCAGAGAAAACACAAGTAACGCGAATTCTCTGTAAAACAAGATATTCAACAACAACACAAGCATCGTGGGTGACCCTAGACGTTTTCAATTATGCCATTTATTCTTTAATGTGAGTTAATGAATGTAACTTCGTTGGAAAACTAGTACATTAAAAACAGCTGAAATATGAAAAATAGAGATAGTAATTGACTCGTTTGTATAAGTTTTAGTTGCAATTTTTAACTATATTAAGCTTTAATGTGGATGATACATGGCCATCTTGAAGTGAGTCGAACCGGAGAATGTAAACAGAGAGTGAATCAACATAAACACCAAGTGAGAAATAACTTGTTTTTCAGGTTCTAAATATTCTCCATAATTGTCAAACCAATAAGTAATTTAACTCTGTTTGTCTTGGAGGATCGCAAGGAAACTTTTTGAGAATATTTATGAAGCGTTTTACATTTAAAAAAAATCATATTTATTTTGAACGGATAATTACTTATTTATTTGTTGAATTTTAATAAACACATGTAAGTTTCTTTCGTTTTCTTCCACTCTATTAATCACATTCTGAGAGTGGTTCTATTTATTATTTTTATAACTGTATCAAATCAATTTTAATCGATCGCCTTTTCCAAGCTGATTTTAGGTTATTATAACTTATTTTTTTACTATTTTATACCTTATAATAAGATGAATTGTATAATTTTTAAAGTGAATATTTATATTTTTCACAATACTTGTTTTCTTGAAGATCTGATCTGTAATGCAACAAAATATTTACTAACAAATATTAATTGTGAAATTTAAGGTGAATCTTCTGTAGTTTTTTTCATTATAATGCTCGAAGGTTTCCCTTTCAGTCTTGAGATAGTATTTACTACAATTTTGTATAATTATCTTGAGATTGAAGCAATGTAACATAATATATCAATATTCCTTTTCGGAAGTATCAAAGGATTTACTTTTGTGAGAATAGAACAATGTGTTTGTTATCGGCGCTGCCGGTTTGTGAATTATATTTTCCTACCTCAAGGACTTTATTACGAACTAACGAATGTTTAATAATAATCACATTTACTTTGACATGTGATCAATATGGCGTCATGATTTTCTTTTAAGAAGAACAGTTGTAATTTTGTCCTCGGTTGTGGATCAAATAACTTAAGCTGTTTTTCTACATACACAAGCACACAACATCGATGGCGAGAACTTTAATTAATTTAATTTTTCTTTTGTTTTATGAATAAAATTTAGAACAGACCATGAACTAATATGCCATTTTACTGTGACACGAAGTCAAACATGCTGGGTAGCAAACTTAAAATAAAACTCGAGCGCTTTCGAATAGTTGACTATTCTTCTGCTCGAGTTTTGGGTCTTATTTTAAGTTTATTACACTTTATACGTGATCCTTTATGCTAACTCTTTTTATCAAGATGCTGGGTAGCATACTGCCTTAATAACCTACGTATATCGTTATTTATCACCTGCATCTAATTCCCCTGGTGGATATATATATATATACGTGTGTGAAATTGGTTTATGATATTTCCGTGTTCAACCCATAATAGTGTGCAGGAACGTCGAGAGCCAGCACGGGCCCCGGGGTAAAGATCCTCGCCTGGTTCCCTTTCTCTTTTTTACCATTTTCAAGAATTTATTAAAAAGAAGATCCTGAATTAGGACAGCAACGAGCTCATAAACCAGACAAAATCATAGCAGCAGCCATTTTTACCTCACAGTATAAGCGTAAAAACGTTAATAAAGTAACAACTAATATCTATTAAATCAATAAAGTAACAAATACATAGTAATTATTACTCAAATTATTATTTCAGTTGTTCTTAATGTATCAAGCGTCCATATGCAAAGAAATGCCAAAAACTTATGGTTTTTATCATTAAATGAAGATATAGCCTAAAGATGCTTTGCGGGCTTAACTAGGTTTCATTCGCCCGGGCCCCTGATAGTTTGTGATAATTTTATACAATCTTATCCCATGTCTTATTTCAAAGTATAGTTTATATTTTATTTTCCCCTCTTCAGTTTTGAATTTATTGAATGTACTTGAAGTTTCACATAATCCCATACGCGCTGTCAGTATGTTACATAACTATCTAGATATTAACTGATTTTGAAATAACTGCATTCACTTTAGATTTAATATCTATTATCTATATCCCAAGTTACTTCATGATGCTTCGATACTGGTTATGAATCTTCACGTTTACTTTCAAACTGTATATTTTTATATTTGTGGTTAGGACACTCGATTCGCAATCTGAAGGTCGCAGGTTCGAATCCTCGTTCCAACAAATGTGCTCGCCCTTTCAGCAGTGAGGGTGTTATAATGTTACGGTCAATCCCACTATTCGTTGGTAAAAGAGTAGCCCAAGAGCTGGCAGTGGGTGTTGATGACTATCTGCCTAGTCTTTCACTGTTAAATTATGGACGGCTAGCGCAGATACCTCTCGTGTAGCTTTGCGCGAAATTCAAACCAAAACTTATTCTCAGATGTTTATACAAAATGACGTGTGCCCCCAGTGTCAAAGCGGTATGTCTGCGGACTTACAACGCTAGAATCCGGGTTTCGATACCCGTGGTGGGCAGAGCTCAGATAGCCCATTGTGTAGTTTTGTGCTTAAGTTCAAACAAACAAACAAACAAAATGGCGTGTTTGATAATAGATTGTTACTGAGTAGTAATTTGATGAGAGTAGGGGCTAAAGATGCATACGTTATTATGGGACTAATTGTAACAAAGCCAGTGACATGTTTCAACCACACCTCTGACAGTTTGTTTTTCAAAGTTATACTATTGTACGAAGGAAAACAATATTTTGAATAAAAAGGATTAATATCATATGCAGAGCCAGCAAAAGTGCAAAATCCAATGGTCTCATTCATGTTTTAATAAAATATTTTATTCATAATAAAGTAATGTGTACCAAAAAATAAAAAATAGCTTAATATTCTCCATTACTAAAAAGGATCAACATTCTTTTAATAATAAAAATCGTTTCACGAGCATCATCAATTTCACGTATAGCAGTATTTTTCTTACAGAAATATTAGAAACTTTGGAAACTTGAAGTTCATTGAAACAATCCAGCATAATTAGGCATATTAAAACTTCATAAACCTAAAAGTCTGTAAGTTCATAAGCGTAATTTCATTAGCAGACTAGCCTATCAAAGGAAAAGGTGGTTTTATATATCAATCGTATGCACAACTGAAACTTAGAGGTAGATTAAATGTTTCAAGCCGCTCGATCGTCTCTCAACAATAGTAGTGAAAGCCCTTTTCTAGCTAAGCAGCCTATTATGTAAAAATACATAATTATAAACAGCTCAAAAATAAATTAGATTGAATTCAATTCTAATTTTAATACTTATTTTAAGAATCAAGTACTAATAATATAATCGTTGTAACGACCGGTTTTGACGAGGGCTTCGAATGCTTCATTTACTTCTGAATTAACGTTCTGGTGTATTTGAAATCCAATACGTGGATAAATCTTTATTCTCTGAAATGTTCCTAACATTGCAGCTAATATTTCTCGCATAGTCCCCACAGCACGTATAGGGTAGTGGCGCAAAGTAATTGGAGGTGACGTCACCACAACACGTAATGATGTCACATTTCCTGGCCATTGTTTCATAAAGGTGGCGTACGTGCGGCGTTCCATATACGGCGTTTGAACAAGAATAATGCTCGATGGATTGATGTTGTATTTCTTCATAATTTTATAGGAAAATTTAACGTTTTCTCCTGTATTTGTAGCTTGACTTTCTATGATAATTCGATTTTCTGGTACCCCAATATCTAGCGCCACATCGCGGAAAACGTATGCTTCAGGCCTTGTCCATTTTCCTGAAATGAAATTTGAATATTCTAAATCAACCACATTGCTTTCAATTTTCAAATCTAAAAAATACGCAAACAATTAAATATAACATGTGTTTTCATAAATTAGGGTTATAAAAGGTATCGCTCCAACAATAAGCGAAAGTTCGTGAAATTTATTTCTCACTTCTTTTTCACAACAGGTGACAAAAGAAAGAGGAAGCAAATTGATGAAAAGGTATTTAAAATTTACGTAAATTAATTTCAAAATTACTACAACTTATGTTAAAAATATTGTGAGGACACTTTCCTTTCGAAAAGTTTCAACATTTCTATTTATTAAATTTTCAATTTTAAACTGGTTCCTACAATAAATAACATAGCTGGCGTAAACTTCGAGTTTATTGGAAGTAAGAAGTACACAAGTAATAATAAACACTTTGTAAATGTAAAATTTTGTAGGGACGG